GGGGCGTTCCTCCTCGCCGCTGGAGGAAGAGGGGAGGCTCAGCACATGCACTCGGTGTAGCTGCGTGAAGTTGTCAGTCTGGCCTCCCATTTTGTGTGACAGGAGGAGCGGAGAGAACGCTTCTCTCCTACCTCGGCGTTGCCCACATCTCCATTACAGGATGTGAAAAGACTCAACTTGTTTTTCTTTTTGTCTGCGTCTGATTTTGCGACTACTGAAAGTGCATTGTAGCCTCTTTCAGAGAAACTTCTGCACGTAAGAGCAATGAGGGGCTTTTCTTCTGGCCAGTCTTCATCTTTTTTTGTTGTTTCTGAAATAGGACATTTGGCCAGCTGGAAGTTTTGTGTGTGTGTTGTTCTCTGGGTGCTTTCTTAGCTTCTTTGGTTTGTTTTGGATTTGGGTTTTGTTTTTTGTTTTGTTAGGCTGCTTATAAACATGTCTTATTTGTCTGTAGATGTAGCTGACTGCTTAGAGCAGGCAGGCTACTGTATCTCTGTGGTAGGCTGTTTATCTCATCTATCACTCTTTACAGTGCCTGTCACCAAGCTTTTGTAGTATGGGACTGCTTGACCTAATTTGGATAAAGCATAATAGGCTCAGCTTCTGTTTTCACTGAAGTTGGTGTAGTGCATCTGAAAAAATGAGAACATCTTTAAAGGTACTGGAAATACACGATAGGAAATTTTTGAAAGAGTAAAATAGCAGATTACCGTTCGCTGTGATTAAAAAAAAACTAAGACTAGCACTTTGTGATTGGTACGTGCATCTTCTGACCACAGAAATGTTCTTAATATATGCTACATCTTCCATACTGTGTTTCCTGTTAGGAGTGCAGAGAGAGGTCTTAAGAGTGGAAATGAGAAGCAAAGTCATAGCTTGTCATCTTTTGACAAAGGCAATGTATGCTGGTTTAGTCACCTGTGCCCTGCACACACCAAACATATAGACTGATGTTACTGCTTTCTTCCAGCAGTTACTTTAGTCTGTTTGTAATGGTTAGGATGATTATGAAGTCAAGTCTTGTTTGTGTTAGTCAGACATGGTAAAAATGTCTACTTTTTGCTTAGGCTAATTTGCCTCAATTCATGCTAAGCATGTGGGAGACCAAGGCTTTGTTTTCACAGTGGTGTAAGAAAAGTTTTCAGTTTTTTGTCTAGAGAATCCATTTTTTTAATTGTAATTCAAACATGTTAAATTAGGTCAACTTAAACTCGGTAAAAATGCTAACTTTTTTATAGAGGAGAAAATTTAACAGGAGCCTTAAATGATCAATATGGAAATCAGTATTCTGTTACTCCTAGTGTAAACATTCTTAATTTAGATGCCTTTACCTTTATTTTTCCCAAGTATCTACCTGTACAGAGAAAGTTTGGTGGGTATAGTCCTTAAAATGCTCGTGAGTTAGTTAGAATAAACCTCGAACTTTGTTGTTATGAGGACAGCACTACTTACGCCCTTGGGAGAGCTAAATGACAGGAACAGTAACTGCATGTGCAGAGTTTGGCATATGAGAGGAAGGGGGAGTGGCTTTTTCTGGTACAGTATCACCCTGCAGTGATGCAATAGAAAGTCTGTAAAAGTTAAAAGTACTTATTGGCTTGGTAATCTGATCTGCTAAGTTTTCACATTTAAAAAAGCATTTTTCTGCTTTTTTTTAAATCTTAGCTCTAGAATTTTCAATTGATGTCTGAATGCATCTTGCTACTGGTGTAATAGATGAGCTCACCAACAGTTTCAGTGGGAGTTACTTGATGCCTATGGGTTGAGGGGGTGAGGTTGATGCAGTAACTCTCTTTGTATTACGCAGTCTTGGTGCTGGGCTTCATAGTGACTGCTGGAGGAGGAGTATATAGACCTTATCACTTAATTTGGGCTATCCAGTCCTGTATAACAAATCATATTATTAATTGAGTGGTCCTAAGGTTTTGAAAATCTTTAAGAAATTCTTATTGATGAGTGTGTCTGTAAATGTGCAAAACTTGGAACTGTTTTTTGTTTGGTTTTTTTTTTTCTTCTGTGATAACTTTTCTGTGGTACTTAAGCCACTTGATGCCAAGGAGAATCAGTACAATGTTTTATGTTTAACATCATCCCAGGTCCTTGCTCCCTCCTGTATTTTTAACACTTTCTGAAGGTACTTTGTCAACATACTGTTGTACTGGGTTGTATTCAGTCTTAAATCCAAAAAGCGATGAGTCTTGTGAAACCTGGATGTTTTGCATCCAAAACTGTGCTGTCTAGTGAATACATCAGACTTGGGTTTTGCTGTCTTTCAGCAGTGTAGGTAGGTCAGTGTACCAGATTACTCTTAACAGGTTCTACCTAAAACCAATTCTAACAACTTGTAATTTTATATGAAGTTTATTTCTTTTTAATGCTCAGATGTATGAACCAACTAACATTTCCCAGCTTCTTAATATCCAAGTATTTTTTCCTATTCCATATCTGAGGAGAATCGAGTAAAATGTCTCTTGGCTTTCTTGATGAAATAAACTTACAAAGAATCTAATGGCATAATTTCTTAGTATACCTTATATGTTGCTCAGTCTTGCTCATCCTCCTGCTGTGTGTGGAAAACTGCTTTGCCTAAGTTATTTTCAGTTGTAGCTGTTAGATGAATGTGGTAGCTTGTCTTTGAGCAACTAGTTTGAAAGAGCAGATGTGCTAGGTTTAGGGATGATTATCTCCCTTTTCCCCACCCCTTGTGCTGTGTGTCCTCCTTCTTGTTTCACCTCCCCCTTCTTCTTGTCTCCAAAAAGCTCCAAAGCCAAACTTATGAATAATAATCATATGGAGAGAGGAACTCCTGCAGAACCTAGAAAATGTGCTCACAGAACAGTCTGTCTGGTTGGGTTTGTATGACTGCAGAGTTAGGCATGATCTTGTTTTAAAAGCTGTTATTCTCTATTCCAAAAATTCTGTGGAGTATCTTCCCAAGAATGTTGGTAAGGCTAGCGGAAGAGCTTTCTTCCTTAACAGTTGAAATGAAATCTAGGCCTTAAGAACAGCGAGGCAAAGTGTACAAAGAGAACTCGTGTTACCTGGACACGGATTGTTATGAAAATGGTTGCATAGGTGAATCCTGCACTGTGGAAGCAGGAGATTTAAATTCAGTTCCCAGCTTTCTCTGATAGGGAGCAAACTCTGAGCCTTAGTCTTCAACATCCCAGGTGAGAACATAAGACTGATGCTCACATTTGTGAGAAAAACTATACATGTAAGTTTAGATTTTTAAAAAAACGTGTTCAAACTATCAAAACTGATTAGGTTCATATTGGGAGTGGGAGTTATGCATTACAGTTCTGAAAACTTCGTCTACTGTGCCTGTGGGCTCACTGATTGTTGTCTTGTGTATAGTAAGTGGTCTAAGTGAAGAAAAAAAAAAAGCATATGTTGACTTTCATTTTAGCTTTTGCAATCCAGTGCCAGTTTTAAAATGAAAAAATGTGAGGAAATTGAGTGGCGTATTGTGTTGCTTAAAACTGCATACATATATCTTTGTGCTTAGGAATGTACCTAATCTAGTGTAAGGTTTTTTCTCAAGCATGTCTTGTTTTAATAATGTCGCAGTTCAGTGTTAATGGGTTGCTTAAAGTAGTTGATGCAAGAAATACAGAGAGAGAGTTTAAGAGGAAAAAAATCAGTCAGGTTTCCTTTAACTGAAGGTTATGATTGGCTACCAGTGCCATTCCGTCCCACTGCATGATCTCAGTGCTTCTTAGAATCGTTTAGGTTGGAAAGGACCTTTAAGATCATCAAGTCCAACCATTAACCTAACCTTGCCATCCCACCACTAAACCATGTCCCTAAGCACCATATCTACCCATCTTTTAAATACCTCCAGGGACGGGGACTCGGCCACTTCCCTGGGCAGCCCGTTCCAATGCTTAACCACCCTTTCAGTGAAAAAATTTTTCCTTTTCCTTTTCTTAATCTGAGAATAGGTTGATATAGTGTGTGCGCTGGTCTTTGCAGTGTGGATCAAGGTCAGTATCAGGAAGACAGTTCCACAGTTCTTGTTTAACATAATTGGTTTTTTTTCCTGGTCCTCCACTGTCTCCCCACCCCCCTTCACACTCCCCAGCTCCTCATTGTGTATTGGACACAATATCATTTTACCATGAGCAAGCTTTAAGATACAAACTTCAGTACCATGTCAGATACTCATAACCACCTTTATGCTTGCTTTTCACCTCTTCCTGCTTAGCAGTTCGATGTCTGGTGTGTAGGGGCATGCAGGCCTACAGTTAGCACACAGTAGCTACTGTACACTCATGCTCTTGCAGACCAGCAAGCATTTCTAAACTGTAAAATTTCTCTCTTCCACTTGCATTACCTTCCTCTCAAGCTGTTCAGCTCCCCCCTGTTGGAATCTGGAGTTGGGTTAGAGAAGAGAACTCCTTATCTGGAATAGAGATGGCTGCTAATGACACCATTTCCAGTGATTCTAGCCCGAAGACAAACATTGCCTCGAGAGTCAGTCGGTTGCTTTCAGTCACACTTAATTGGGATTCCATAGTATTTTTCCAGTTTGCTAGCAAACAAGCTTATTCTGGTGTTTAGTTTAGGAAACGGGTAAGAATGACTGAGCCTTCAGGCCCAGCTGTAGGTACCTGAGGGGTGCATCTAGGAGAACGAGCATTACAGATTGGTAATTTTTTCTCTTCTTTTCATACAGGTTTGGAAGACCATTGTTCTCAGATACTGAGAAATCGGGACTTCTGAAGAGTGCACTACCTAAAGGAATATAAGGAGTTGATAGTTGTAGCTTCCTTGCAATTGATTTTTTTTTTTTTTTTTTTTTTTTTTTTTTTTTTTTTTCCCTTTTTTTTTTTTTTGAGAGCTTTTTTAATCTCTCTAGGTGCCAGCAATAGTTCAGAAATGCTTACAACGTGAGCAAAAACCTTAGGTCAGACCAATTTCAAGGGTTGGCTGGAAGCAAACATCTGATATAATTGTGACCTGGGCTTCTCACTTGCAAACCATCACAAGAGGTTTTTCCTTTGTGACCCAACCAGTAAGAGATCTGGGGTGATGTCTGTTCCTTGATGTGCTGCGTTCAGGTAGCGATGGCCGATACCACCATTCTTTGCCTATTGCAGCCTTCCAGGCGGCTGATTTGTGTCTCCTTGTGTGCTGCAAAGATGAGGGCCATGTTAATATTACTCCTGAAGAAAATGCTACGGCTTTGTTCTTTCTTAGACTCAACGAAAGCGCCGTGGAGGAGCAGTTAATTCTAGGCAAGCTCGGAAACGAAGCAGGCTGGTGGCTTCTACGACAGAAATGGCTTCAGAAGCAGAGCCAATAGAACTTGAAGAAAGTGGTAAGCTTTCTTTTTAACTTGAGAAGAACACAGACTGCTTCTGGAGGGTTGGGGTCCCACTTAATGTGTATTTTTGGCAGTTTCTAGGCCTTTTGCTGGGGAGGAGGGGAAACCTTTGGGTTTAGAAAGTGTCAAGTATGGCATCTATAGACAACAAGTCTCCTGACAACTGTTACTGAGCTCCAGTACATTCACCATTACTGATAGATGAGTTGTGTAAAAAAGGAGCTCAAGTGCTGCTCAAGCATCTGAATGTCTGATGAGCTGGGTGTTAGTGCACCTGCCACTACAGATAGTTACAAACTGTGTTTAGGAATTTTCAGGTATTTAGATGATAATTAAAAGTTTGTCATCAGTCATGCCCCATCCCTCAAGGGAACACTTACAGCATGGTACTGTAAAATTATGGTATCCTATATGATTCACGTTATATTCTGTGGGATAGGCAATGCCCTGTGTCAGATGAACAGTCTGTTGCTGTGTACCTCCCATAAGCTGTTGTCGTACAACAGAACAGTATGAGGAGCTCAGCTGCTGCTCCTCTTGCGTTGCAGCTGGCAGAAGACAGTGGCGGTAATGCTCTACATGGACTGTTGAGGGCAAAGCTTGAGTGGAATGTGGATATGTTCCTGAAGAGAGGAGGGATGGGGCATGGCTGAATCACACCTCAGCCTGTTACATAGTGGCAAGCAATTTTATTCCTCTGCCATGTCTGATCTTGATTCTACCGTTGTGTTTTTAAGCTGGTGAAGAAGTGGTCGATCTGACGTGTGAATCTTCTGATCCTGTAGTCGTCGATCTAACTCACAGTGATTCTGTTGTGGTAAGTAGGGAATGGCCCATTTATCTAAATCTTGTGGTCAGATGAATTTTGTACTGTGCTCCCTGATAGATTTAAGGGTAAGTTTTAGTTCAACGTTGACTCACCAGTGCATGGAAGCCGTGTGTTACAGGCATAGGCCAATAATTTAATAAACGTGTTGGAGAGAACAGTAAGTCTTCGACCTCACAAATAGGACGTGCTTAGCCACAAGGTTCAAGAAGTCTTAAGAAAATCCCCCTTTTATTTTTACTGCTATTTTGGAAGCTAGAGTGCTATTTGATCCAGTCCACAGTGTAGTCTATGGCGCCCACTTTTGGGATGCCACTGCTGCTGTGCAAGCCAGAAACCAGCAGCCGGAAGGGTGTCTCCTGCTGGGATTGTTGCCGAGCCTTTGCAAAGGAAAGGCCTGGCACTTTACAACATAATCTGCATTACCCCAGCTCTGGTTCCACCAAAGACAACAGCAGGCTTGGGGTTTGGGGTTTTTTTTGTCTTCATCAGCTGTTAATCTAATATGAAGTGTTTATGGATGTCACACCTGAATTTGCCTGTTTGAGGGAGACAGAGGGAAAGAATCTCCTCCCGCCTAAATCAAATGAGGGCACTGAAACGGGAGCAGGGAGGAGGGTGTTGAGCTGGTTCTTAAGCTGCCTCCGTTTCTGTCCCTTTGCAGCAGCCTGAGCAGAATCAGAAGCAGCCACTTGGCTTTCAGAGCAGCAGCTGATTTACTGCTACTTTTTAACATTCTTAATCAAAATAAGAGCCTGATACCTTATCATTCATCGTTTTTGTTTTGTTGTAATTGCTTAGCTTACCTGGGGGTGCACAGCAAAGTCTAATTGTATTTTCTTTTCTCTCCTTTCCCACATATATTGATGCAAGATTGTTGAAGGTGAGTTGACATTTTACAGCTGATAACTGTCTAAAACTAAAAAGTCTCTTTTTTTTTTTTTTTTTTTTTTTTTTTTTGTTCTTTTCCAATGAACTTCAGCAGCATAGATTGAAACTGCATTTGCCAAAAGGCAAAGGACTGTGCTGAAGTATCTGGCCAGTGTCTTATGACAATGGATCCAGCCTGTGTTTTATAGTCACTATCAGAGCTTGTAGGAAGTATCTGAAATAAAATACATCAAAGCTGCTCAAAATATGTTTTCTTTTCCAGATAGAGAAGTTCTGTAAGCCCGAAGTTGCTAATGATTTTAATTAGTACTGGAATATCTGCTTTGAATAAGAAAATATTGAAAGGCTTTTTCAGCTTGTGTTGCAGCAAGGAACTAAAGAAGGAAGTTATTTGTGGTCATAGTATTGACTTTCATTTTCTAGTATAACACACCTCAATTTTAATTGTAATTATAATTGTTGAGTACTTGATTATTGTTACATGTACACTGGAGTTGCAGAGATAACTATCACATGCAGTTTCTAATTGTTAAAAAGCGAACAGCAGTTCTTTAAGCTTTGAATGTTACAGACTAGGCAATTAAAATTTTTTCAATCTCCTTTTATATTGGCCAATATAACTCCATTTTCAAGTTAGCTTAACTCAGGAGGAAGATGGTAAAAGTTTCTGAGTAGACAGTGCTTAAAGTATTATCATAATATCAAAGTACTGTTCTTAAAAACGACTGCTTTCTGCCTTTGAGTGGGGGCATAGACAAAAACAGTAGAACAGTTCAGCATCATACTTGGATAGAGCAGTCAGGTGCCATAGCAGCTCCATAACTTACATTTTTTAGATTTAAGCATCTCTTCTATCACTTCTGAAACTTTCTGAACAAAGCACTCTGTGGTTTACCAGGCCTTTTTGTTGTGTATCTGCTACCTTGCCATGCTACTTGGAAACTTAACTTCAGTCGTGTCTCCTGCCACCACCATATCACACAGCAATTTTTGCAGTTCCACAACATCATATTGTAGCATGCTCTTTTAATAAGAATTGGGAGAGGTAGCTTCCCTTTATGGGGGAGATTGATTCGTGGTGGTATAACGATATGAAACTTATGACACCAAGAATCTTTAAGATCATGTTTTACCTGTTTGTAGGGTGAATGGAGCAAATATTTTGTGTCAATATGTAGCAGAATATTCACAATATCTGGAAATGTTTAGCCTTAATATTTAGGAAATTAGTTTAAGGTTACTTTTCACCCAGCTGAATATGGTCCATTTAAAATATGAACCGTTATGGACTATTTATAATCATGCATCTCAAGGATAGTTCCAGGGGTATATACATTGTAATATATTTAACTTATGCAAATTAAATTTCAGAGAACCAACGACAAAGGAGAAATCTCCGACTAAGAAGCCAGCGACAGTCGGACAGCTGTGTACTGAGTAGCGATGATGAAGATGAAACAAGAGATAATGATGTGTATGTGACAGATAAAGTGTCTCGAGAATTGGGACCACTGGAAGATGAAACTGCAAATTCCAAGTATGTGTGCCTTATGACCTACCAAACATTGAATTTTGCTTTTAGTATACATACAAAACTAAGTTATATTGCTATAGCCTGGCTTACCTTTGAAATCTTAATTTATTCTAGTTAATTCCTTCTTTCACTGAGTACAACATCACATTTTGCATGATGACCAAATGATACAGCTTGCACTTTAGGATAAAAAGCCGGTCCAAGACGGATGTACAACTTTGCACACAGCCTTAAAGATGAGTGTCACGGTGTGGCAAGGAAGGAGGATTAGTCACAGGCCATAGGTCATAATGTATTGCACTTAATTTTCTTGCAAAGCTCTAGTAGTGATGTCAGATATGGAAATATTTCCATTGGTGTCGATGAGGCTTGGTATCACAAGACCGGCAGGCAGTGGCCTGGCAAATTCCAGTAAAAACTATTACTCATTCACTGCTTTTTTACACACTGTGCCAGTTAACTGCCTTTTTCTCTCGGAGCAGTAACCGTTCTTGCCAAGGTGTACTTGCAAGGCGATTGTGGAGGTAATACTGTTACGGCCAGTTTCTGTTCTGTCCCATCTATGTCATGGAGCTCTGGTATGTTTGCATGTGTGAAGGCGATATCGCTGTTTAGGTCAGGTGCCTGCACAGTAAAGACTCCATTCTGCAGAGAAACAGTAAACTCCTGCTGTAGGAGCACTGTTAAGAAAGATGCAGTGTATTAGACTAAATGGAATCAGGTGTCCACGTGACTAGGGAAGACAACATGAGAATTGTGGTATAAATGTGTTTTTTAAAGTGTTTGCTTCTGCTTTGGGCCTTTTAGGTTACCGGAAGACAATGTGGGAGAGAACTCGGGTATGGAAATTTTGGGTGTCAGGTCTTAAATACGCCATCTAAAGGGCTTATACTATTCTAAAACATAGTGCATCTTGCCAATGGATTTGTAGATTTTTAAATTTTGGTTACGTATGTAGGTGAATATATCCCACTAATTAGTTAATATATAAAAATTACAATGTTTTGTTCCTTCAGTCTCAAGCTTCTCTGTTAAAGAATGTGCCTTCCCACTCTGTGCTGCAGCATTTAACACTGACAAAAAGGTACTGATGCTGGAGATTGCCACAGAACCATCTACAGTGTTATTCTTGCTGATACGAAGGTTATTATCAGTTGTAATTAATTACTGATTCAGTATTATAGCTGCTGCATAAAGAATTTGAGGAGTAAAAATGGGAGAATTAATGGAGTTAAATTACATATGTGAAACTAGGAGTAGATGTTAGTAGTGCTCACTGCTTGAATTTAGGATTACAGGATATCTCATGCTTTCTATTACTGCTTAATCGATAAATTACAAACTGTTGCTTAGCATGGGAGGTGACATCATAAAGCCAAGTGTTTATGGTAAAGACGAAAGCAGCTTACTGTGATCATTTAAAGTAGAGATTTGTAAATAAAAGTGGCAGGAAGCTCTTTCTCTCTCTGATAGAGAATATTATTCAGCACTTAGGGTATGACACGTTCTTTACACAGAGTAGCTATGTCTGTTAGCGTGTGCGTGCAATACGGCTGTCCTGAGGCTCAAGGCAGGGGAGGTGCATCTGTAACCACAACTTGGTAACAGCCACTGAGTCAGGTCTTTCATCCTCTGAGCTAGAAATTTATTTTTGAATATTTCCTCACAGTAGTATGTTCCTGCCTTGCATTTTATAAGTAAGGAGTTCTTGGTATGAAGATGTTGCTACTGGGCTGGGATGTTGCTAAATTAGAATAGGGGATGTTCTAATTTCTGACAACCTCTTTCACTTCTAGAAAGGACAGCTAGATGGTTTTGTTACAAAACCCTTACTCATGGCCAGGTGAAGGTTAATATTGCCATATGTATACTGCTATAGACTGCTATTCCTTCTGCTAATAGAGCAGGGTGACCGACTGCATCTTCCCCTGAGGAAAACCAGGGTGCAGTTTCCTTTAGCTAAGGGAGACCCTAACGGCTTCGCAAATGCAACAGGCCCAGAGAGTTAGAGGTACGTGGGGATCTTCAGCTCCACTGTGCCACGGCTCGTCAGCGGAGTCGGGTGACTGCCTGACGTTTTGTGTCTCGGTAACCCTCAATGCACGGTGAAATTAATGGATGGTTTTGTTCTCTCTCCCACAAGGCCGTCTGGTACCGTTAGCTGTCCGATCTGCATGGATGGCTACTCAGAGGTAAGGATCCACGTGTTGGCGTTGTTTCTTTGTTGTCGGAGGGAGAACGGGGCAGGGCATGAGCTGGGCAGCTCTGTTGGGTTATGTGGGATGCCGCAGGCAGCTGGCTTGAAGTACAGACCTTGGCTTTAAGGTGAAACGAGCCTGTAACTCCACGTTGACTCTTAGTGGTGTGCGTAGCGGGAGAAACACTTTGCAAGACGGCACTGAAGGACCTTTGGATTCCTCGCTATGAGAGTAGCAATGTACCCGATCCTCCAAGTCCTATTTGCCTGGTGCCAGCAGCCCAGCAAAGTGGAATTCTTCACTCCAGATACCTGATGTGGTTTCTTTTCTTCCAGATTGTGCAGAGTGGACGACTGATTGTGTCAACCAAATGCGGCCATGTCTTCTGCAGCCAGTGCCTCCGTGATTCCCTTAGGAATGCCAACTCTTGCCCAACCTGCAGGAAGAAACTCACGCACAGACAATATCATCCCATTTATATATGAGTACTTCTATTTCTCAGGACAGACTCAACTGGATTTTGGGGGAAAAGGTCGTGTTTTCAATGCTCCGAAGATTTAAAGAGCAGCAGGTTGTGCACGCATCCAAATAAAACTGGGTTTTTTTGGAGAATAACTTGTACATATATAGACAGCTTTTTTATGGTCCAAGCTGCTTCTTGTTATGTCCCTGGTTATAATGTTAAATTTGCGACTGTCTCTAAACTAGAGCAGCAGCCTATATCAGAAAGGAAGCAGCTAATCTGTTTCCTTCTACCTTTTTAATGCTGAAATAAGAGGGGTCTGAACATTTTGTTATTTCTTACTCTTTAAATTATTCCCGCCATCGCATTCAGATATGGAATAGTTGCCTTTCAAAATGCAGGTGAACAATTTGCCATTTCATTACACTTTTGTTTTTATCCTCTTGACTCTTGCTTTCTGCTCCGCCATCTTTGCCCAAGTAGAGTAAGTTCTGTTAACGATGGGTCATTTTATAGTAAATCAATATTAAGTTGGCAACCCGGGTCATGCAATAAAATAACCTGCTGTTAACCAGCAGTCAGGTTTTTTAAGCAGAAGGCTTGAACATGTAGATGTCTTTATGAACTCCATGAGATCTAAAGTACGTAGACAAATGGCAGCATGTACAATGTAAAAATACTTCTTTGAATGTTTTAACTGCCGAGAATTCCTGTATTTGAATCACAATACTGAATTTATTTTCTAACAGGGTGAGATGGTCTCTTGGGTTCACTACTGTTCTGTAGCGCTCTCTCCTGATAACTAAGGAGAATATAGTCTTCTCTAGGCTTGCTAGTGATGAATAAGCAGCAAATGGTGTGCGTTCCTCTTGTCAGCTGAATACCAAACTACCTACAGATCTTCTTACTCTATCAAGTGTACCCAGTGTTAATGCTTAAAGTTCATCGCTGCTCTCTTCAGTTGCTATACTGACCCCTGACTGGTTTTAGCCTGGTGCATAGGATTAAAAATTAAATATCTGTATTGCCATGGATTTAGGAAGTGGAGGCTTTAAAAGATGTTTGGTAGCAATCTTGACTTGGCAGCTTTTTGAGAGAGAAGTTTAATCTCCCTCTGCTCCAAGGGTTGCCTAGCTTTGTTTAAATGTGCATTTTTAAATAAGAGAAGTCAGATGCATGTCCTCAGAGAACTCCTCTGTTGAAGCAAGGCAGGAATACACAGGTTTATGGACTGTTACCCAGTCACGTTGGGGTTCTTTCCAGGACTGAGTTATAAAATGTCTGCTTTAAACCTGTTACAGCTAAAATCTGCAAGCTGATGTGGAATCCCAGATGAGCGGATACAAACAGGATTATAGTGATTTCCATCATCTCCTCTACTTTTAATCAGTATTTTATCATCCACATATGCAGCAGCCACATCTATGAAGGTTGAAATTTGGTCTATAAAAACTAACTTGTCCAAAATTAAATGCAGATGCCTTTTGGCAGTTGGTAGGCCATGGTAAACCGTTGGAAGCACCATGCTGCTCTGGTGCAGCACAACAGTAGGATGCACTTAGTTAACGTTGGTATCTGATGTGTCTTTGCTCACCTGTCCTAGGGATCTGTAGGAAGCTTTAATTAAAGCATCTCTTATTAGCTGTCTCAAGTTCTCTGTTGAAGATTGCAACCCAAAACTAAAGCGTCTTTTTAATTAGGATGTTTAGGGATGTTTCTGGATGCAGTAATACAGACAGAGTTCTGTTCCATACAGGCTAGCTTGAGAAACGCGGTACCTTCCCCTGCCGGGTTTGGAGTAGCTTTGGTTCAGCCCTGTTACCAGGAACGTGCAGTTTCTGCAGTGTGGCAATATGGTAACTACTAAAAAGCTACACACATTTAGTTACTCTGTGCTCCCATTGGTAATAGAAACTACAGCAGTCTTAGGGTACTGCGGTGACAACAGCAGCTGGAATTTGGGTCCCAAAAACCAGAGAAATGATGAAACAGTACTGAAGCATTAATTACATGGGGAGAAGCAGCCCAACGTTAAAAATGTTAAGATATTTAAGGGCCACAGAAACGGCTTTCTCCCAGTAGCTTCAAGAAAAAAAACAAACAACAAAACGATGGCCAGTTTTTCTTGGGTGGCTACTGTACAGAGGGAGGATAAGGAGAGGATTTAGGGGATTACCTCTGGGGATGAGGGTGGGTCACCTATCTGTGCATCTTCCACAGAGTACTAGCCGTAGCCTAAAATTACTTTGCACAACTCCCTCTGTGTAAATATCACTTTATAGTTTGTGTCTCCATAAATAGATCTAATTGACATTTAGATACCACAAACTATAAAATATTTAACAAAGAAATTTTTAGCTTTTGTGTACCCTGTGAAGTACCACACATTTTGTGCATCTCAAAATGAATTTTAAGTCTCAGTACATGGAAAAATACTAAATTGTGTTACACACTTTTTTTTTAGGAAAAAAAAAAAAAAGAAACCCTGATATATTTGAGTTCCAGTGATGTTTCACATTGGCAAGAAGTGATAGATAATATAAAGATTTTTTTCATTATGTAAATGTATGTCTTGTATATAGTTCAATTTTTCCTGTATTTAATTGTATTCATGTCTGTCTGTCCCATCTATGTTGGACTCTGCTGGTAGGCAAACAGTTCTTTTAACAAGTGGAAATAAAACTATCGATTTGATGAAAATCGGAAGCGCTCGTTCTTCTGGTCGCGCTGTATTAATTGATTTGGAGGGGAAAAAAGAAATCCAAACTAGTCGTATCTGGCCGGTGTGTGCTGTGGGGGGAGGAGGAGCAAGGCACTGCCTGGGGTGGGGGGAGCAGGGCCCAGAGAGGGCTCGCTTTAGCGGGAGGTGGGGGTATCTCCCGCTGCTGGCGGAGCTGGCGTCGCCCATGGCGTGCGTGCGTGTGTCAGGAACGAACCGCCATGCTGGGGAGAGGGCCGGGCGTGCAGCGGTGTGAAAGTCACCGTAAAGCTTATTTTATTTCTTCTCTAAAGAAACTAAATAGATGCTGTTCTGCTGAAATTCTTTCCCTGTCCTTCTTATTTGCCTCTCTTGCATTTTGATGAAGTTTCTTCACTTTAAGGAAAAGAAGGAGAAAAAAAAAAAAAGCCATTTCTCATCAGGCTGGCCATTTATAGAGCACGGTCGCCAGGATTGTTTCCATATGCAAAAGCGCTGCGTTAGACGTCCGCTCCGGATCTTATCTATTCCGTTGATGTTGGAACAAGTGTTTTGTGACGGACCCGAAGAGCTGCTGTGTGAGTAAAAGTATTATTCTGAATTAATTTGCTGCTAATAATGCTCGTTAAGTGCGTGTGTTTCCTATTGATCCTTGTTTACAGCAGACTGATGCTTTTCTGTGTCGTTTAGTTGCGTTGTTGTTCTTCCCTACCCTCTCTGCCCTAGGTCTGGCTATGCTGAGAAACAGTCTTACTCTCTGGTAAGAGAAAAGTTACCTGGTTTGTAGTGTTTCAAAATGAGCTGGCAAAGAGAACTCGCATTACCTGGACACAGGTTGTTACAGAAATGGTTGCCCAGGCGAGTCCTGCACTGAGGGTCAGTTCCCAGCTTTCTCCGATTGCAAACTCTCAGCCTTAGTCTTCTACACCCCAGGTGACAACACACAGCAATTTGCTCACATTTGCGAGGAAAAACTTGTGAGTTACTGTACATGAAAGTGTAGATTTTTTTAAAACACATTTCCTATCATATGCAGCAGAAATACTAACTTGCTCACCCCATGGCTGGGTGCTTGTCCAAAAGGATGCTGGGAGGGGCAGTATCAAAAGCCTTACTGAAATCCAGAAAAACCTACATCCCCTGCCTTCCCTTCATCCACTCGGCGGGTGACTTTATCATAGGAGATTATCAAATTATGTGAACCCATGCTGGCTGTGCCTGACAATTGCATTATTTGTTAAATGCCTTTCAGTAGTACCAGGTATAGTAACCTGCGTAATTTTTCCAGAAACTGAGCCTAGACTAACAGCTCTGTAGTTCCCTGGGTCTTCCCTCACGCCCTTCTTGTAAACTGGAATAACGTTGGCTAGCTTCCAGAGCAGGGACCTCCCCTTTGGCAGATGATGGAGAGGGATCCGCCGTGACATCCGCCGGCTCCGTCAGTGCGCTGGGGCGGATCCCCTCAGGCCCCAGGGACCCGGGAACATTCAGCGGATGCAGCTGCTCCCTTGCAGTTTCAATGTCCACAAGTGGAAAGCCACTGTTCCCACGCTCGTGGGCCTCTGACTCAGGGGACTGGGGCAGCCCAAGGTCTATCAGTATTATTAAAGACTGAGAAAAAAAAAAAGCAAGCATTTTATGCCTGCACTTGTCTTTATCCCTATTAGTCAGGTGACGTGTCTCCAGCAAGTATCAGGCCAATGTTGTCTTTAGAGCTCCTTTAGCTTTTTCAATCCAGTACCAGTTTTTAAATGAGAAAATGGGAGAAAATTGATGAGTGGCATATTTTGTTGCTTAAAACTGTGCATAAATATATCTTTGGGCTTAGTACAATTATCAAATTTAGTATGAGGATTTTTCTCAAGCGTGTTTAGATTTAATAATGTCACAACTCAGTGTTAATGGGTGTCTTAAGGAAGCAAGTGATTGAAGAAATATAGAGGAAGTTTAAGAGGAAAAAAAATCAGTCAGGCTTCCTTTAACTCCAGGTTATGATTGACTGCTAGTGCTATTCCATCCCACTGCATGGTCTCAGTGTTTCTTAATCAGAGAATAGGTTAATAGCCTGCTAATTAGTTTTGATCTTTCTACTGACACAGGCAAAAGAAAAAAAGAAAGGGGCAGGGGGAGATCCCAAAATCCATAATGAGATTGTGTGATGAGGAGAGCTCAAAGGTCATCCAGGCTTTGCTAGGATGACCTTTCTTTTGAACTAACAGGGATATGCACCTAGCTCAAACCTAGTGTTAGTGCAAGCCCTCTTGACCTCTTCTAAGTAAGTCCTTCATTTCCAGCTATGCTTTTAGATGATGTCTTTGTGTGTCCATTGATGCTCTGCTCTTCTCTTGCCTGAAGTGCCTACAGCTTTTGTTTAGAGAAGAGTCAGTACCTGGAAACTATCAGCTGCAGAAAATCTGGCATTGGGCATTATTTCATTTGGTCTTTGAGGCCATAACGTGATGTCTATACCTTGACAGCGGCCCCGTACCATCCCTTTTCTGGGATAACAGTGTCCATGGTCTACACAGAGACAAGGGCCTACACAATCTGCCAGAATTTGTGCCTTTTGAGCTGGTGTAATATTCCAGAACTGTGATGAGAGCAGTGAGCTAAATCTTCTAGATTGTTCAGGACCGTGGAGGACTCGTGTAGTCAAGCTGCTTTGTCACAAAAGCAGTGGATTATCCTGCGTCTGCATCTCTTCCCACTTGCTGGCTGAGGTTTGCTTTGTCGCAGCTCAGGGAGCATCTTTGGCCTGTTCCTGGCTGTGGCCCCGTTCTGAAGGGCTCTGTGCTGGTCTTTGCAGCATGGCTTGAGGTCAGTATCAGGAGCAAGTGGGTTTCTGCTTTGCCTTCCTGTTTCCTTTGACTGCAGCGGAACAGACCTTTAGTAAGATTTATCTTTTTATTACAGTACTGAACTAGTTTTAAGGCTTGCCAGGCTTCTGTGCTGTCAGACCTGTAAAAAACCTACGGGAGTGGGAATTCTAGATGGTTTCAGACCCATGGAGGAAAAAGCAGCTGTGTGTGAAGAGGTGATTCTTCTTTTAAGATGGATTTGTAACAAAGCTTTCCATGGCTCGGTTGTTGGACACTAAGTTGTTCTTTTGTGTGCAGTAAAATGGAAGTTGTCTGGCAGGCTTGACTCCTAGGCTTCATAACTGGTTCACTACTTTTTTTAAAGAAAATATTTTGCCTACTGATTTGTCGCGCTTTGTCTTCTAAAATTAGTTATTTGGCTTGTGTGGGGTCTCCCCACTGCCTCCCCCCAGCTCCTCATTGTGTGTTGGACACAGGATAGTTTTACCATGAGCAAGCTATAAGATGTGAGCTTCAGTGCCACAGACAAACATTGCCTCGAGAGTCAGTCGGTTGCTTTCAGTCACACTTAATTGGGATTCCATAGTATTTTTCCAGTTTGCTAGCAAACAAGCTTATTCTGGTGTTTAGTTTAGGAAACGGGTAAGAATGACTGAGCCTTCAGGCCCAGCTGTAGGTACCTGAGGGGTGCATCTAGGAGAACGAGCATTACAGATCGGTAATTTTTTCTCTTCTTTTCATACAGGTTTGGAAGACCATTGTTCTCAGATACTGAGAAATCGGGACTTCTGAAGAGTGCACTACCTAAAGGAATATAAGGAGTTGATAGTTGTAGCTTCCTTGCAATTGATTTTTTTTTTTTTTTTTTTTTTTTTTTTTTTTTTTTGTTTATTTTTTTTTTTTTTGTGCCAGCAATAGTTCAGAAATGCTTACAACGTGAGCAAAAACCTTAGGTCAGACCAATTTCAAGGGTTGGCTGGAAGCAAACATCTGATATAATTGTGACCTGGGCTTCTCACTTGCAAACCATCACAAGAGGTTTTTCCTTTGTGACCCAACCAGTAAGAGATCTGGGGTGATGTCTGTTCCTTGATGTGCTGCGTTCAGGTAGCGATGGCCGATACCACCATTCTTTGCCTATTGCAGCCTTCCAGGCGGCTGATTTGTGTCTCCTTGTGTGCTGCAAAGATGAGGGCCATGTTAATATTACTCCTGAAGAAAATGCTACGGCTTTGTTCTTTCTTAGACTCAACGAAAGCGCCGTGGAGGAGCAGTTAATTCTAGGCAAGCTCGGAAACGAAACAGGCTTGTGGCTTCTACAACAGAAATGGCTTCAGAAGCAGAGCCAATAGAACTTGAAGAAAGTGGTAAGCTTTCTTTTTAACTTGAGAAGAACACAAACTGCTTCTGGAGGATTGGGGTCCCACTTAACTGCAGCTGCCACTACAGATAGTGGCAAACGAAGTTTAGGAACTTTCAGGTTTTTAGATGGTAATTAAGTTTGTCATTAGTCATGCCCTGTCCCTCAAAGGAGTGGCAGGAATTGGTTGTTATGTTTTTACAAAAAGTAGCAGAATTTAAACAGCCACCTTGACCTCCTACATAAATATTTAAATTGTCTTCTGAAATCCTAGGAAAGGTTAAAGTAACTGTTGGGATACAGGTAATTGCATGGCTTTTTCAGTTTTTGATGTGTATTTGTCTATGAAAGGTTGGAAGAGACATGAGACAGGAACACTTACAGCATGGTACTGTAAAATTATGGTATCCTATATGATTCATTTTATATTCTGTGGGATAGGCAATGCCCTGTGTCAGATGAACAATCTGTTGCTGTGTACCTCCCATAAGCTGTTGTCATACAACAGAACAGTATGAGGAGCTCAGCTGCTGCTCCTCTTGCGTTGCAGCTGGCAGAAGACAGTGGCGGTAATGCTCTACATGGACTGTTGAGGGCAAAGCTTGAGTGGAATGTGGATACGTTCCTGAAGAGAGGAGGGATGGGGCATGGCTGAATCATACCTCAGCCTGTTACATAGTGGCAGGCAATTTTATTCCTCTGCCATGTCTGATCTTAATTCTACCGTTGTGTTTTTAAGCTGGTGAAGAAGTGGTCGATCTGACATGTGAATCTTCTGATCTTGTAGTCGTCGATCTAACTCACAGTGATTCTGTTGTGGTAAGTAGGGAATGGCCCATTTATCTAAATCTTGTGGCCAGGTGAATTTTGTATTGTGCTCCCTGATAGATTTAAGGGTAAGTTTTAGTTCAACGTTGACTCGCCAGTGCATGGAAGCCATGCGTTACAGGTCAACGCTGAAGCTGCTCTAGAGGCACACTCGCAGAACTTGCGGAGAATATGTACCGGTGCTGGGTATTGTAACATAAGATGTCATTTTAAGTTGAAGCTATGCTAGATCTATCAATGGTATAGTTTGCCTTTCAAAATGGAGGTGAACAATTTGCCGTTTCATTACACTTTTGTTTTTGTCCTCTAAGAAGCTCATGACTATTGCTTTCTACTCCGCTATCTTTGCCCAAGTTGAGTAAGTTCTGTTAATGATGAGTCATTTTATAGTAAATCAATATTAAGTTGGCAACCCGGGTCATGCAATAAAATAACCTGCTGTTAACCAGCAGTCAGGTTTTTTAAGCAGAAGGCTGTGCAGATGCATGTGCTGTTGTGATGGGTGAGTCCTTGCTGCTTCAGTTGAGCCCTCAGTCTGCTTCTCCTGAAATACGAGATCCATCAGATCTGCCCTCTTATCTGCAGTGAGATTTGACGTGTTGGCAGGATGAAGCCTGCAGCAATTGCAGAAAGCTGTTCTTGCTTGGGGTCTGATTCTAGATCACATTTTTGGAGAGGAGAAGGGGTAAATATGAAATATGAGCCAGATACCAGTTTGTGAAGTGGAAGTCCAGGACCAGGGAAGACCAGTCCTGGGCTAGGAAGCCAGGCAAGAAGCGTGGTCCAGGGGTTAGGTGGAACATGTAAATGGGGGGATGCTCACATGCCACCATGTCTGGAGCGAAGGGCGAGCTGAGGGGGGAGGGTGGCCCTGGGGGCTGCAGTGGAGACCGATGCTATGGAATGGGGACCAGTGCTGGAGCATCAAGAGCCAGGAACTACAGAGCAAAGTGCAGAGATGTGGCTGCAGCCGAGTTGTGTGTGAGCAGCCAGGCGGCAAAGGGGAAGCACAAAGGGGAGTCACCAAGGGTAAGCGCTGGTGCGTGTCAGATGGATCAGCCTGGCAGGGCCATAGCTGCTGCAAGGAGCCGTTGTGTTCTGGTTGCAGAGCTTAAACCTCCATTTGCCTGGGTTAGGTCCCACGGGGTGGTGACACAGCTCTGAGGCGATGCTTACAGGTGATGCAATGCTTTCTATGAAGCTTTTGTTAACCATAGATACATATGTCCTTACACTGTGTCTGATCTATACTTGATAGCAGCAAGTGCTAATTTCATATGTTTGGTTTAAATCTATTTTATTCTCTAGGTCAAGAGCATGCAATTGAGCTTTTGGGCTTGTGAGGACATTTAAACCTCCAAATATTTTATGTCTTTTTGTCTCTCTTCTGCCTGATGATGTGAAACCCAGCTTGGTTGGCTGTGTGGTGCTCTGTTTCATCTGAAGACCGAATTCGTAATAGTTTCTACTGCTGACTTAGGGCCTGCTAACAGTGAGATGCTGTAAGGGCTGCTTCATATTCTTAATGCCATCCTTAGTCCTCCTACCTGGGAAGGTAAGAGGAATAGGAATATCTGGTCTGGGGCTTCCCAGAGGAGAAGGTTGCCATCTGTACCAAGGAGGACTTCTGGTGCTGTGTCCAGATGCATTCCAAGAGTTCTTTCCCCTGACATGTCACTTCAGAGAGGGGTTCCACCCATGCTGGTGGTAGAGGATGAATACAGAGGTGATGTGATGTATTCTTCTGCTTTGGTTAGATATTGAATACTCTTTCCTTCAGTAAAGGCCTTGATTACACCAGCAACGTAAACCTGAAAGCCTTACTTCCCACTAGTAACTCTGCTACCCACATATGGTAGGTTCAGACTTGGTGTATGCTTTTTTACATGTTAGATGTTACCTTAAGGTTGTAGGCAAGGCAGTTAAAAGGAGCTGCATCATGAATGAAAAGGTGCTTGGGGAACTGGTCATTTGTAAACCTGTCTCCTTTCCCAAATTGCATGAACAAGACATTAGCATTAAAAACTTTACACAGGTTATGATACTGATTTAATACAGAGGTAACAGAGATCGGGGGATTAATGGTCTCAGAGGTCTGCCTATGCAAGCAATTGCAGACATCCATTTTAAACACATTTCAATTATTTATATGGAAACTTGTTTCCCAGGGAGTGCACAAAATTCATTCACATCCAGCGAGGGATTCTCTTTGCTCCCAGGGAAGCTGAAGGACTAGCAGTAGTTTGTCCCTTGTTTCTTTTGGCAAGCATTCATCCCTTCGATCTCTGCTCCAATACCCTCTGCCCTTCCCAGTCCCCGGCGGCAAGCGCCACAGCAGAGTGGAAGCAACCCCTGGTGCAGCGCCCTCTGCTCCGCTCCTGCAGAGCATCCGAAGGCACCAGGTTAAATTTTCTCTCTACCGCAGAGATCTCAACTGAGGCAAGGTCCTTGCTGTGCTCCATGAGTTCACGCTACTCCTGATGGCAGAGACCTGCAGTGTAGGTGCCTCGTGGCTCTGTGGGATGGGGTAGATGGAGCAGCATTATTTTTTTAAGCAAAATCCTGTGTAGCGCTCTCTGCATATCTTGATTTGCAGCATCATGACAAGTGGGCACTTTATAATTAACGTGATTAAAAGTGCACACATTGCAGTGGAAGGGAGCATGTAAATTAGGCGTTAAAGCTCTGCTGCAAGGAGGCGGTGTGCTGCGCCTTCTTTCCTTGGCCATAAATTCCCCCATAAATCTCACTCCAATTCTTGCTTCGTGGAGGAAGGGTATGAAGCTGTGGCTATTTCAGTGACCGATGTTCCAACACCATTTCCCCAAATCATTTATTAATAGCCACAAAGACCGTAGCTTATTTCTAACTAATTCAGCAATCAAAATTTTAGACATGGATCATGCATATATTTGTGCCTTCCTCGTCGCTGGAGTGCAGACAAATGAATTTTAAAAATAGCCTGAGGTGAAGGTTTAAGTCATTCATTTAACAAGGCTCTTTAAAAGCTTCTTTTCTAACCTGCCAAATTACAGGATGGTAATAATTTGTTTAAGTCTTTCAACATTTAAGAAAATGCCTGCTGCATATTGAAGCATTAGCACCCCTTGGCTGAGCAAATTGAGCGTGGGGCAGCGGGAGCAGCCAGGACTCCGCTGGGGAAGGGAGCTGTCTGCTCCACGCGCGGCCTCATGAATTGCAAAGAGCTAATTAGAAGAAATGCTTGCAAAAGGCTGATTTTCCAACACTTCTGGCTAAAACATATTTGAAGTGCTTTTGTCATACTGAGGGCTCTCTGTCAGCAGAGATAGTTTATTAGGTTTGCCATCCAGTGGTCCTTTTATTGTTGCCTTCTCCTACCTCTTGTATTGGAAGGTAGAGAGCATTGCATGGAAAGCAGAGCTGCTCAGCTCTGTGACTGTCACCCAAAAGAAAGGGGACTTCAAGCTGGAGGGGCTTGGACCCTAAAACCAATTTTTGTTATTTTTTTTTTATTTGACCAGCAAAAATCAGCCCATTCCATAAACTTCTACAGCCGCCTGCAGGAGCTGCAAATTGTCCCCCAGAGCTGTTGCCCGAGGGGAGCAGCGGGGAGGATTTGAGCGGTGCTGCAGGCTGGCGGCTGCAGCCCTGCTGCCTGGCTCCCAACAGCAACACCATGAAGTCAGGCAGAGCCTTCGTTTCGGAGCCTCCTCCCCTGCGAAAGCGCAGGGCTGTCACCTGCCGTGTGTTCGGGGACACCGAGGCAAACGGGGCACCAGCCTTTTCCCAGCTCTGCTGTGACCCCACCGCTCCCTCTGGCAGCAAGGGGGTTTCGCAGGGCCAGAGCAGGGCAATATCCATTCGTCTGAAGAGATGAATGAAATAATTGCGTTGGGTGCACAGCAGCTCCTCAGAAATGCAAGGGAAGCAGGATGAGTTTGATACTAAAGAAATGGAAAATAAAGCTGCGGATACTTACGCTATACCTCAGCATTGCTACCTAGATACAGATGTAGGATTTATTAGGTTTATTTTTGTTTCATATCTGTCAGGATGCCTAGAAAAAGCTTATTTTGACATTATTTTGAAAACAAATTTTTCATAGAATCATAGAATGTTTTGGTTGGAAGGGACCCCTAGAGGTCATCTAGTCCAACCCCCCCTGCAGGGAGCAGGGACACCGCTAACCAGATCAGGTTGCTCAGAGCCCCATCCAACCTGGCCTTGAATGTTCCCAGGGATGGGGCCTCCACCCCCTCTCTGGGCAACTTGTTCCAGCATTTCACCACCCTCATTGTAAAGAATTTCTTCCTTATATCCAGTCTAAACCTACCCTGGTTTAGTTTAAAACCATTACCCCTTCTCTTGTCACAGCTGGCCCTACTAAAGATTTTCCCCATCTTTCCTATAGGCTCCCTTTAAGTACTGAAGGTCTCCCCGCAGCCTTCTTTTCTCCAGGCTGAACAAGCCCAACTCCCTCAGCCTGTCCTCATAGGGGAGGGGCTCCAGCCCTTGGATTTGTATATCTATACTATCCTATACACTGATTTTACAGCTGAGCTTGCAATGCTTAGATATTCTGGACAGAAGTGTGAGTATCAAGTCTGACCTCAGTCATGCCTCTGGACTTCCACATCTGAATTAGCACATACCCACAAGCCTGCATCCTGAACATCTGAGAGATCCCTGGAGTAACGTGTTGTGTTTATAGGCTGGGAAATGCCTGCGGTCCTGGGCTTGTGTCCCGCATCCCTCGCTCCCTGCCGTAGCGATGCCCAGAGCCGTGGTTAGCCAGACCCGGACACAGGGCAGTTCGCTAGGACAGAAAACTCTGTGTGTCTGTTTTAGCTTAGAGCCAATGCTTGGGAAGAGTTTGGGCAAGCCTGGTGTTTGACAGCCCAGCTTTGGCTTGTTCCTGGACAGGCAGGGTTCCCAGGGCTGGAGCTCACCTCCCCAAACCCTTGTTACCTCACTCCTACCTCATGTGCCACGGCTGCGTCACCCCAGGTCCCGCGGGAGAGACCATCCAGCACTGACCTGCCCCGCGGGCCTGGGGGGCTGCACCCTGCTGCCGGATTTCTTCTGGAAAAGGGTCTTATCCCAGGTGGGAACACCCGGGAAACATCCGCTTGGATGCACTGGCCTCAAGGAGGAGGAGGAGGTGACAGCGTGAGGCAGGGACTTGGTTTCGTGCCAACCCTTTGTTTCGGGTTTTGTGCCCTGTCTCTCTCTTTTTCTGGTTGCGGGAATTATC